ATAAATGCATTAGAAACACATGCATGAAAGAAAAAAACATTAAAATACATATCTAAGGGTTCATTTTCCTGACATCACATTATCTGACCTTTTCAAAATGGAAATGTTTGAATGAGTAGAAATGAGAAAATAAATTATTTCAGATATTTAAAAAATTAAAATTGTGGCAGCTTCAGGACCATGCATTTGAAAATATCAGTGAAATAATTATTTTATGAGAATAAAATGTTACCCAAACATATTCAATAAGGACTTTAAAAAATCCTTGCATTCATCAATAATCACCAAATTAGGGAATCTAGCATAAACTATATGCCATATGGGTAAGTTGTTTTAATTTAAAGACAATACACATTTTATCCTATTTAAACTGAACCTGAACATAATAATAAAAAAAAGAAAACAAGTACTTTTTTCGGAGCTTGTGTAACTCAGATGCCAGATCTGATGTGCTAGTTCGAGTTTTGTACCAGTCAAAAAGTGTTACAAACATCACAAGCAGAAAGGAATTCTTAAGAAGAGATTTGAATTCTTCAAAATCATTAGAAGAGTTAGAAAAGCAAACTCCAAGAAGGGCCTTCAAGAATGACCCATAAACTGGCTACCTGTGGTTTATGCCTGTAACCTACTAGGGTGGCCATGACTGGAGGTTCATGGTTTGAGGCCAGCCAAGGCCGAAAAAAGTCCCCCAACGTCTGTTTCAACAGAAAAAGCCGAGTGTGGCGGTACAGGTCTGCCATCCCAGCTATTGTGGGCTGAGTAAGTGACAGGATCACAATCTAATCTGGTCCAGTTAAGAAAATGGCATCTTAAAAAATCCATAATATTCAGGCATAAGACAAGTGTTACCTTAGTGCTTCTATTTGCCATTCTATTAGTGATCCTAGCCAATGCAATAAAACAGGTAAAATTAATCAGGTGTAGTTCCTGGAAAGAAAAGGATCAAATTATCCCTTAGGAAGTGATGCAATTATCTATTTGAAAAGTATGTTTGTGATCCCAGCACTTGAAGATGGTATGATCATCTTCAGTTCAAGGTCAGCCTCTGACTCATCTCAATCACTCCTTTCACCTCAAACAAACAAACAACGGTAAAGCCCAACTGAATCAACAACAAAGACGTAAACTCCACCCTACAGCTAATGAGAGCCAAGCAGGATGGCTGGTTGCACACGTAGCACATGAACAATTTCTCTATATTTTGTCTATAATCCATATAATCTATAAGAACTGTAATAAAACTATATTAAAAAAAACTCCCTAGCAGTAACATTTTTCCTGAAGCCGTATAAGTAGTGCTGTGAAGTTTTGTGGGGATAGCTAACAGTTTGGTAACAGAAATCTGGTGTCTGCATTTTAACATAAACCCAAATAAATTCCAGATGGTACACACACACACACACACACACACACATGCAAACACATTTTGAAGAAAAGAATAAATTAAGTACTCCTATAGATCTAAACTTAAATTAGCTTTCTAAAACAATTGGATGTTTATTGTTGACAGTGGAACAAAGACCAAAAGAGGAGAAAACCAAATCTATTCAAGACAAAGTTGGTAAAAATAGAAGTTACAAGAAAATGTAAGTCAATATTTAATTTATCTTGAAATGGGAAAGGAGGATGACAAAGAGGGAAGATACTGGCCGTGGATGGCTCATGCCTATAATCTCAGATACTCAGGAGGCTGAGATTAAGAGGATCTCAGTTTGAAGCCATTCCAGGTAGGTAGAAAAATCCATGAAATTCCATCTTCAAAGTAACTAGCAAAAAGCAAGGCTGGAGGCATAGCTCAAGTGGTAGAGTGCCAATTGAGCACGCAAGATAGATCTTGAAACTCCCTAAGGAAGTTCACTGGCCAAAGTGTATGGATTATTTTTCTCTTACTGGAAATTCACACAATATGAATACAACAAAAATATAAACACAATACAAAATAGTGTCCATACAATACAATTGTATGTAAATATAAGTACAATTTAGTAGGGGACTGGGAGATGGGCTGAGGCTTGAATTTAGAGATTTATACTTGCCAGGCAGGCTTTCTACCACTTGACCCAAGTCCTTAGTCCACTTGGCAATATTTTCAAGGAGGAAAATCAAGGATTGAGAAAGATTGGGAGTGAGGGCAGAGGTAATTCCAAGTGTGGACGGTGGGAATGTAAATGTAGCCATCCTAGAGGCCAGTTTGTCAATGTGTATCAATGCTTTTTTTTTTTTAAAGCAGTCTTTCATTTCAAAATTTGCACCTAGGATTTTATCCTAGGGGAAGAAATAGACTTTTTGTGGAAGGCTACAGGTACAAAGATGTCCACCAAGGTGTTGCTTACAACGGTGAAGAATTGGAAATGAACTGGCACGAATCAGGAAACACCAGTGTGCACGGTGACTGTCAAAAAATATTGAATGGTGCTACCGCGATGGCAAATCAGTCCATGTAATTTATGCTTTCCATTTGCAGCCCGTGAGAAACGGTACAAAAGGAAGGTTGGGAGAAAGAGCTCAAACATTAAACAAGGCCTATTCCGAATGAATTGATTAGAGGTGACTATTGAGTTCTTGTTTTGGTTTGCTTACCTATTTTTCGGCAATGCACGGGCATTGTTTTTGCTTTAAAAAAATGAGAATTTAAAAAAAAACGAGTCTCTAGGAAACTTTAGTCCCGCGGGACAGAAAGCTCCGCAGACTCCCCTGTCCATCCCGGCCGGGGCGCTCTGCCCACCGTGCCAGGCCAGCACCCTCCCTTCCTGCCGGCTTAGGGTGCGTCCCTGCAGTCCCGATCACCCGATCACCGACGGGAAGCCGTTCCTGTTGTCACTCCTTGCAGCCTTCGGAGCTCCGGCTCCGGGGGCCCTGGGCCTGCGCTGTCCGTAACAGCTCCAAGATCCACCCCTGCGCCCCGTGCCCACGGTACCTTCGGGCACTGGGCAGGTCCCAAAGCACTTTCCTGGCTATTACTGGGGTTTCTGTGGTGCCGTCCCAGGGCTGGAGCTCCGGGGGACCTGGCGCTGCCCCTGAGCCTTTCACTCAATGCTAGCACTCGACCACCTTTGGGCCGCGCCTCCACATCTGGATTTTTTGGGGGGCGGTGATCAATCAGAGATAAGAGTCCCATAGACTTTCGGGGCTGGCTTTGAACCGCGATCCTCAGATCTCAGCCTCCTGGGTAGCTGGGATGACAGGCGTGAGCCACTGGCGCCCGGCTTGCAATTTTTACGTTTAAGACAATGAGGGAGCTAGGGCGCTCGGCGGGGAGGGGTGGCGACCTCCCCAGAACACGCGGGGGGGGGGCTCCGGGACCCCTGAGTGCCTGGGCCCGGTGTCAGTGGAGGGAGGCACGCATGTATTGACCACCTAAGTGCCACTGCTAGGAAGGACAGACGTCGCCAGTGCGAAGGGCCGGGTGCGTGGACCTCCGAGCCGGGCGGCGGGTTTCTTCCTCACCTTGCAACCCCTGGGAGCGGGGACAACCGGGACACAGCAACTTTCCTGGCTGAGCCTTGCGGGACGCTTCTGAGCGGTTGGCCCAGCTCCGCCCGCGGGGCACCCAGCCACCATCCCAACGCAGGTTTAAGCTTCCCGCACCCGCGAGGGTCCCCACGCAGAACCCCCCCAAACCCCGGGACCCCATCTGTCCTTCCAGGACGCAGGAGAGCGGGGCCAGCTTCCGGGACTTGCGGGGTGGAGGTGCCGGAAGTGGGGGTCCCAGGCTACCCTGAGGAGTTGAACCATGCACTCTCCCCACGTGCCTTCTCATTTTCTCTCGGCCACCCTAAGTGTGCAGGGCTGGGGGTGGGGTGGGGTGGGGGTGGAGAGGGAGGTGGTGATGGAGATGGAGCTGGTGATAGAGGGTGTGCCTGCGCGCGTGCTGAAACTGGAGATTGCCTAGTGCCCAATGGAATGGATTTCTAGCTGGTGTCACGTTAGTAGCCACACGCACACACACGCACACGCGCATACACACACGCACACGCACACCGTGGGATTGTAGGAAAACAAGTTGTGTCATGGAGAAGAAAGTTGGCTCTGAAGGTCGGGGCGCGTTGGTTCCTAGCGACTCGGAGAAAGAGGTGCGGGGGCCGCAGGGACTGGGGCCCATTTGTCACCCACCCCTGCCACAGTTGCCCCCTTCGATCGTCCCTTCCCTCCTTCCCCCCCGGGGCGCTGTGTGCCGCCTGTGTGCGCCTCCGAGCACCAGCGCTCGCTAGTGCAAGCGTGCAAGCGCAGTGTGAAATGCGGCCGGCCACGGCGGGTGGCGGGTGCGCTCTGCAAAAATATGAATAATCAACACATCGCTCACACCTCCGCTGAGAGCCGGGAGGGGCGCGAGGCCCCGCGGGCTGGGGGCGGGGACCCCCGGGGGTAAAAAGGGAGGGGGTATTCCAGAGCAGCTCCTCGGTTATCCTTCCTCAAGACTGAGCTGAGAAAATGCGGGGGGGGGGGAGGGAAGGAGGGAAAGAGGGTGCCGGTCTTGGGTCCTACTTAACTTTTTCCGGGGCGCAGGCCTCCTGCGCGGCCCGGGGTGGGAGGTGGGGTGGCGGGAAGGCGGCCACGGGGAGAGGAGTTTTTGTTCCTTGGATACCTGTACTCTCAGCTCCTCAGGAGGCTGACAGGCGAGTTCAGAAGTTCAAAGCCAACCTGGGCAGGAAAGGCTGTAAGACTCTGATATCCAATTAACACACACACACACACACACACACACACACACACACACACACACACACACACACAGAGCGCCAGAAGTGGAAGTGTGGCTCAAGTGGTCGAGCACCAGCAGTGAGGGGAACAGCTAAGTAAGGTAGGTAGCGCACTTAGGCCCTGAGTTCAACCCTCTAACACACACACACACACACACACACACACACACACACACACACACACACACAGTATCAGTCAGCGCCCCTTCTCATTTTGAT